ACCCAACAGTTGTACTGCAATAGCCACCTCTGCAATGTTCGTGCAGAAAGCGTGCTTGCATGCAGCGCACCCTTTGTGGTAGCCATGACGAAGCCCACAAAGTCCTGAAGCGCCCCAAACAGCACATAAGGCAAAAGAAGGTTCGATAGGGATATCCCATGGGGTCCCTAGAGAATTATTCGGGTTTAGGGATTAGGGTTTGTAATTAAGGGTTTCGGATCCTCCTCCATCATGCACCCCGCGTAGCGGGGATTGAGTCTGCTGGTATCTAACCTGCATATGATCTCGCAGTGATAGACGTGAAACTTTGGGCGCAACTTAAACCTCGGCTGATCGTCTGATGGAAATTCTATCGATGTGGCTCTCTTCTCCAACCCCCAGCAGAACTCCTGCTCATAAGTTCAAACAGGGAGCAGGGGCTGTGCAGACTGCAGAAACTGAGCTGCCAGGGAAAGATAGGAGTGGCAGTACAATCTGCCGAGCCTCGGATATGGAGTTCTTGCATATAAACATCGCAACATTCTTCTTTAATTGCGGTCGCTGAGAAAATGTGTGCAACAACATTCAGTTGAGGTTCTGGGCGACTTCTCGTGCTTGCTCGTCTGAAAGCCACATGCCATACTTATCCAGCTGATTGGCGAAAGTCGTGATTGCCCATGCGTTCACAGCCGGTTTTCGGGCTTCGGGCATCGAAGTCGACAACTCCTAGGGAGAAGAACTGCTGCCCAACACTTCAATCAAAAGCTTCAAAGCTGAAATATTCGAAACGACATCGGGTGAACCTCAAAAAAGTTCCAACGATCCAACACCAAAAAAATAACCCGCATGGTCGAGTTGCACAGAAGCGCTCGGCAAGGTAAGCCAGCCTGGGCCATTATTCGTATGACTATATATAATCGGCTGGTTGTGTGCTTCGGAGGAGCAGGGTTTCATCCAAGCTGCATGAGACGGTTCGCCCATCCTTTGGAAAAACCCAGAGGATAGTCAAAGCTTACCGCATCAACGGAGAGTTTTGTCAAACCTGGGTGCAGAGTCTGGCTAAAGCTGGGTTTAGCAGGGGTACATGGTTTAGGGTTGTTATTATATATTCGGCTTCTTATTGTTTTCAGACAAAACAAAAAATTATGTGTATCATAGAGACTCAGCTCGTCGATCGTGCTGGGTCGCAGTCCATGCTGGCGGCACCACTCACGAAGATCGAAATGGATGTGCCGGAGTCTCTCATCAAAGGTGTCGTAATGCTGCACGGGCGGCCAAAAGCGCGCTAGAAGCATCGTAAGCGAACCCACTGCGTCGCGCCCCGTTCCCAACCACAAGCAGTGAAGCAGGTCAGGGTATTCGCAGGATGCATCGTATCCGGGCAGTCGGAAAAGCTCTATGTCGCGACCAACACCTAGGCACTGCTGAATTTGAGATGTTAGCAACACGGCCGAGATCTATTTGATGGGTTTCACAATAAAATAAAAGATAACCTGCCCGTCGTTCAAGACGGCTGGTGCCACCCAAGAGCTAGTTCTTGCAGCCTCGTCAAGGTCCGCCTGATTGTTGAAGCGTTCAGCCATATCAGCCCAAGGGCGCTCTCTGCTGCTGTCGGCCAGGCATCTGGGGCAAATCTGACCTGGTTGGCCGTTCGGTCCGGCCACGTTGCCGTAATGTCTTGATTGTGCCAGCCATTCTCGTTTGTGTTTCCAATCGCCCTTGGACACGCAGAGGTGCACAGACCATCCATGTAACTCAGCATCGTCACATGAAGCCAAAGGAATCATGGAGTCCACGAAAAGCTTCTGCAGGCAAGCCAACGTCAGGTTCTTCTTGCTGTTGTGGTCGATCGCGAACCGGTCTGATTTCAGAACCTCGGCTCGATCGAAGTCCGAGTTCCCTTTAGCTACAGCACAAGATTGAGAAGCAGCCAAAGCACCACGAAGGGGTATTTCTGGTATTGGGCTTCGCGATGACACCCCAGCGGGCTTATTGACATGACGAGAACGTTCTTGGAGCGTTTCGAAGTGCCCTCGTCGCCGTGCAACGACACAGCGATGGCCTTCCTCCGGGCGGATTCAGGCCACCCCTGTACGGGATGGGACCTGGTACACATGTTGTCATTTAAATTGTGCTGCATCGATCGCGGTAATCAAAACGAAATCAAGGGAGCATGCATGCAATCGAGACACTTCCCCCATGGTTCCGACTTCGCTTTCTCCCAGAACTCCAACCAATCAACCGGGCCCGTCCTCACTGCTCTGATCGCGGCAAGATTGCCACAATGATTACGTAGCACAAATTAAAAAGCACCAAACCGACGAAATGTATCACACGAACATAATATGTACATGATATGAGCATCCAATGGTTCACAAGTCCGCCTTGCACCATGGCCTTGAACAGCAAGTAGGGCGACAGATAGGGCAGCGATGTCCACGAGTTGAGGGCCGGTTGAGCGTTTTTGCTCTTTTTCTTTACCTGTACAACCCGTCCAGCAGCTCTACGTCGAAAACGAACTTGTCTGCGTTGCCCTAGCTCTCGACGAACTTCTGGTCGTGTGTCTTTCAGCAAAACTGAAGCTGCACTGAGGGGACACACAATCGGAGCCTCAGATCACCAATCCAGTAGCGGAGAAATAACACATCACCAGAATACCTAGCAACACCATCCCGAAGACCCATGAACAAGCGGGGAGCACCCTACATATGAACATACACGTATTCTGCAACCAGGAAACATCACTCGAGTCGGAAGCCAGGGCTTTCGAAAGCCCCCGTTCGATGATATTTTTCCGACGGCCAGAAGCCCCCAGAGTGGCAGCCCACCGAGTACCTTACTGTACGTTGCATGAGTAAGAAAAGATAAGGTGTTTTTTTGGGTCTTATATGCTGATGAATACATTACAAGCTTTTGGTTTGGGATGTGTAGGGCCCAGGTGCTTTTGGACACATTGTCAGCACCGGACTCTTGGATCGCGGCAGATGCAAACTCTTGCAACAAGGCAGTGCTAGCCCCACGCCCAATGTGCCGCGAAGCCGCTCGTGTCACAGCACTGTCAGTCAAAGATAAATCACGGGGAGACGGTCTCGGGTCAGGCGTTTGTCTTGAATCCTTCCCAGCCGCTTTCGCAAGGCTTTTCGCCAGGCTCTGAGTTCGCTTTCCCAACATCCGACGGCATGCAAAAACACAGCCATGTTACCAGCAACATAATATTTACATTCTACATGGGTAATCCTCACCTCCAGCCTGCAGGTTCGGCCTTTGGACCCAGCGGCTTATTAAGAGTTTAGCATTAGGATTTTGGGGGGTTTGGGGCTTGTATGTGTATATATATATATATACACATAACTATACATGTATATGAGGCTTATATGTGATAGATAGATAAGGGCCAAAATGGGGTTTTGCAGCACTCGTGGTTTTACGGTTGCAGGCATAACAAGGTTGGCTAAGGGTGTCCATGCGATCATCTACACAAACATAACTGGGATGCTTGTGTATACAGATGCAGTTTATGTCCATTATTACTGATCTAAATAAGCCCGCGAGGGCCTCGAACCTGCAATATCGATTCACCAGCTTCGTGCACGAGAACCGCAATCACGAGCAGTATGTCCCCGAGCAGTCGAAACAGCACACCAGCACTAATGACATATCATTGCCGTTTGTGGCGACGACTTTCGGCGCTGCAGATCCAGCGAAGCCCCCTAGTGCCCGCGCTTCTTGAGAGCACAGCAGACTGAAGATCAAATTGGATAAATGCGGGCCCCACATATGCCATGGTGCACAAGCAACGATTGCCCAGCTGCACGAATCTACTTTAAGCAGAAATACACCAAGCCGGTACAACTTACACGGTTACAATAACAGTCCATAGATGCTGCATCAACGACACCATTAGCACACTAGATGGGTCCCACAGCGGACGAAGAACTCTGGAGAGAAACATGTGTTCGGCACATGTTACCGGCCGTTCCCCGGCTCGCACTCACGACTGCTTGGTGTGCAGGACTAAGCGAGTGCTGAGCACGCTTCCCGCTAGCCGGCTCCAATCAAAAGTCAAGACTCGCTCACGTGATCATGTGATGTGCAGTGGCCACAGCTAAGGTATCACAGACTTTACATACAATGCTACAGTAGCTGGCTGCATGTTGACTCATCAAACAAAACAACGACCTGCCATCTAATCAAAACTCATGAAGCCGCTGCACTCACTGCGAACCCTCAAGCGGCTTCGTCGGGGATGCCTTGGCCTTCTTCGCCGCCTTAGCCGGGCGTTTCTCCTGTGCGATCCTGAGTGGAGCGATATATTAGGGCGTTCGGGGTTAATTTAGGGCGGGATATTAGGGTTGAGGGCTTCAGGTAGGGGTTTGGGGCCGTGCGATCCCGAATGGAATTGTAGGGCGGAAGCTTCCATACATTTACGCAGCAACAAGAACCTGTACGGAACAAGCAGCATACAACATAGGGCTTTCGGCTCCTTTACCCTCACTCTCGGACTAAGCCTGGCAGGAGCGGTTTAAGGTGTTAGGGGATTAAGGCTTTGTATAGGGGTTTATGGCTTTATAGGGTTGAGGGCTTTAGGGGTTTAAGGCCTTATAGAGGGTTATAATAAGGTATAAGGGTTTATTTGGGCAAATTATCAAATGTTCTGTCTCGCTATATTGTTGAATCCAAAGCACAGTCCATTTGCCACCCTCGTGTGCTTCTTGAACGCTTCCACGTACATCGCAGCCTGAGATATGTTGGTAAGCCACACGATGAATACGCATGGAAAGCAGCAAACTCACTGTATATCTGCACAGCACGGCCACAATCATGCAATCAAGTGCTACCGACAAGGAACAGTCAGCAACACAGTCTGGACATCAGCTGCAACCGGAGCTGTGCCGAGCGCTTGGAGCTGCTTCCGGCACTGATTGAGGCCTTCGGATGCATCCTTCAGCTTGGCGATCAGGGAGTCCTGGAAGTCCAGAGATTCCAACCTCGATCACAGCACAATAACATGCCGCCCGGTTTCATCTAACAGGGTTTTGATTTCTCTCTCGAGAACAGTAAGCAGGATCGAAACAAAATACACCAAGGAACTCCCCGCACAACTTCACGGCTTGACCCTGGGCCGAGTTGGCAGCTGTGCACCAGTTGGCAACGAAGGCGCCCACGTCTTCCGTGCACACGTGGACTTCCAGCTCCGATCCCTCGCAAACACCATCATACCATCAGACTGTACGAAACACGTGCACTGAAAAAACAATAATGCACGACCTAATCCCTGAATGTGATTCATCATGCACATATATATATATATATATGGTTTAATCAAAAGCGAATATGCCCTAACAAAAAGAAGCATCACCTAAATAAGTCGTTTTCTAGAAGAACAAGCCCGAAAGCCTTATGTAATAGCCTTATGTAATAAGCTAGCTTAGGTTAAGCCATTCATGCGTTCATGCTTGCGGTTAGGATGTATCGCTCGTTTAATAATGCACCTCCGGCTTCGGCAGTCGCTGCTTCTTCGGGTTGGACTGCTGCGAGCCGTCGTTGGCCTTGTTTTTTGCTCCTGCTTTTGCGCTAGCCTTTGCCGCAGCAGCACTTTCCAGCGGGGAGTCTGGCACAGAAGGGCTGCCACTGGTCGACGCAGGTGCCGGGAGTGCCGTTGTCGGTGCTGTCAAAGCCGCCGGCCCATTCTGGCCATCCAGCATCGCCGCAACGCTCGCCGCGTACGAAGGGGACACACCCAGCTCAACCGCAATCTCATCAAGCGTCCTGTTGACCACCGACCGCTTCTGCCGATTGTAGTAGAGGAAGGTCTCAACTGTCGAATCGTTGCGGTCGGTGCTTGTCCTGCCCGATAGTGTGTGTCGCAGTTGCATATAGTATAGTCGTCGTAGTAGTACGTAGGTCTTAATTCGCATGTACTATAGACACGTCTACGTACGTACAGTTGCATGCAACTCAAGTCCCACGTGGCTCAGCTCGGCGACGAGTGATAAAGGCTAACGCTTTGTCGGCGTCGTTCGAGTGAAAGGCCAGGATATCGCTCCAGCGATAATATTCACCTGGACAGCATAGGATCGTTGCATATAGCTGTATGGCGGAGCACGCACACAGCATATTCCCTTAATGAAGCCTTGGCCGGTACAGTGCCTTTGGCTGAATGTTTGTACGTCTATGTGGGCTTCAGGATATCTGCTCAAACCTAAAGTTCTGTTCAATTTCACATCCTATTTTTCATGGTGCATATCCCTTGCTGTTTTCGTCCTGTCAATTAAGGACAACACTATGGCCATTGAACGTCATTGACATATAAACCCCGATGCCAATTCTCAAGAAACTCCAAACCCCACAGATTCTGGCAGGGTACCCTCGTCACGGTCTTCCTCTTCGCGTTGCCGCTTGAAGCGGAGAGCCGCCTCCATAGCAAGAGGATCACCTGATTGGACACTGGGGGGACGGGGAGCTTAATCATATTGGTGTTTGGTAGGTGTGTTGCCATACAAATTAAGCCCTTAATACATAGTTCCCTATAAGACGTTTTGCTCCAGAAGGCTTCAATCAATACCTCAGCATAGTAGGTGCAGCTGGGAGCGAACAGTCTAGTCCGAGACTCTGCTACAAACAAAAGACTTTGGGCACGAAAGCCTCGCAATATATGATAATAGTATAGGTCTATACTACATCCCTAAACCCTAATCCGTGCCTATATATGGGCCCAAATAATCAGCAAGAAGCGGTGCATGAGAGTTGGGGCGCGTCATCAGGGCTTAGGGGCTCCCATATATATATATATATATATATATTGTCTATCTCCAAATCTGTCTTCTGTTATGTTTACTCTATATATATACACACACATACCTTATAACATAAGCTATGGGTTTGCATGATAAGGTTTGGGGTTTAGGATTTAGTGAAATTTAGTGCACAAAGGTTCAACACTACAAGTTTGGGTTCTATAAGGTTTAGGGAACGATGTAGTCGGGTGTTTGGGGTTTAGGGCAGCGTAAAATTGTATAGGTGCCATCCCAGTGACAGCCACTGGCCACGAACTGTGCGAACACAGCCATCCGACGGGGTCCGCCCTGCACCCAAACCTTCTTCATTTCATCTGCACCCTTTGATGTCTCACAGAAGCGTCCAAAGGCCCGGTATTCCTTCGGATGGGTGGAACTGTTCACCTCCAGCTTGATCGGTGCAGCAGGTGGAGGCGGGGCACCTGGTGCTGGTGGCGGCAATGAGGATGGCGGTGCCACATCCCCTGCTGCTGCCACCGCCGATGCTCCCTTTGGCAATGGCTGAGCCTGGACAAGTGCTAGAGGTGGATTTGCGCTCACTGCTGGGCCAGGGGCCTCGCCGGCAGGTGCTGGAGGCGGATTTGCGCTCACTGCTTGGCCAGGGGCCTCGCTCGCAACCTGGGCAGCTGCTGGAAGCGGATTTGCGCTCACTGTTTGGCCGGGGGCCTCGCCCGCAACCTGCTGCTGCTGTTGCTCTGCTGTTGGCGCTGCTGCCTTCTCAGCAGCACTCGCGTTCAGCAGCTGACTCATGGTGCCCTGGAGCATCTGGATCTGCTCCGCAGACAACGAAGATCCATTCTGCAGAGTCTGAGCCAGCACCGTCGCTAGCAGGCTTGTCATTGCATCATCTGCAGGCGGAGTGCTGGGAACTGTCGCTGTTGCAGCAGAGGGAGGTGCAGGCGGTGACCTGGGAAAGAAGAAAGTCGACGGAGTCGGGGCTGGCATCTGGATCTCTTTCTGGTCAGGGGCTGCTGGGCTCGCTGCCATTGGTGCTGGCACAGCCGCTGCTGGGGCTGTGGGTGCAGTCGAGGTCAAAGTTGGCACGGCTGCTTCTGTTGCTGCAGGCAACGTCGGAGTCGGACCTGTTGGGCTCACTGGCACTGCTGCCGGCACTGGCACTGCTGCCGGCACGGGTGCTGCTGCTGCAGGCAACGTAGAAGTCGGAACTGTCGGGCTCACCACCACTGCTGTTGGCACGGGTGCTGCTGGTGCAGGCAACGTAGAAGTCGGAACTGTCGAGCTCACCGGCACTGCTGCTGGCACGGGTGCTGCTGCTGCAGGCGGAGTCGGAACCGCTGTTGGGCTCACCACCACTGCTGCTGGCAAGGGTGTTGCTGGCGCAGGCAACGTAGAAGTCGGAACTGTCGGGCTCACCACCACTGCTGCTGGCAAGGGTGTTGCTGGCGCAGGCAACGTAGAAGTCGGAACTGTCGGGCTCACCACCACTTCTGCTGGCACGGGTGCTGCTGGTGCAGGCAACGTAGAAGGTGTTGTTGGCGCAGGCAACGTAGAAGTCGGAACTGTTGGGCTCACCACCACTGCTGCTGGCACAGGTGCTGCTGGCGCAGGCAAGGTAGAAGGTGTTGCTGGCGCAGGCAACGTAGAAGTCGGAACTGTTGGGCTCACCACCACTGCTGCTGGCACAGGTGCTGCTGGCGCAGGCAAGGTAGAAGGTGTTGCTGGTGCAGGCAACGTAGAAGTCGGAACTGCCGGGCTCACCACCACTGCTGCTGGCACCGGTGCTGCTGGTGCAGGCAACGTAGAAGGTCTTGTTGGCACAGGCAACGTAGAAGTCGGAACTGTCGGGCTCACCACCACTGCTGCTGGCACAGGTGCTGCTGGCGCAGGCAACGTAGAAGGTGTTGCTGGTGCAGGCAACGTAGAAGTCGGAACTGTCGGGCTCGTCACCACCGCTGCTGGCACGGGTGCTGCTGGTGCAGGCAACGTAGAAGGTCTTGCTGGTGCAGGCAACGTAGAAGTCGGAACTGTCGGGCTCACCACCACTGCTGTTGGCACGGGTGCTGCTGGTGCAGGCAACGTAGAAGTAGTCGGAACTGTCGGGCTCACCGGCACTGGTGTTGGCACAGGTGCTGCTGGCGCAGGCGGAGTCGGAACTGCTGTTGGGCTCACCACCACTGCTGCTGGCACGGGTGCTGTTGCTGCTGCAGGCAACGTAGAAGTCGGAACTGTCGGGCTCAGCGGCACTGCTGCTGGCACAGGTGCTGCTGGTGCACACAAGGCTGGAGTCGGAACTGCTGCTGGGCTCACCGGCACTGGTGTTGGCACAGCTGCCGCTGGGGCTGCTCTCGGAACTGTCGGGCTCGCTGCCACTGGTCCCGGCACAGCTGTCACTGTTGGGGCTGCTGCTGTTGTTGCTGCAGGCAACGTCGGAGTCGGAACTGTTGTCGGTGCAGGCACTGTTGCCGGCACGGCGGGTGCTGCTGTTGGCGGTGCAGTCGGAGTCGGAACTGCTGCTGCTGGGCTCACCGGCAGTGCTGCTGTTGGCACAGGTAGGGCTGCTGCAAGCAACGTAGGAGTCGGAACTGTCAGGCGGGCCTCCAGGGGCACTGGCACAGCTGTCGCTGGGGCTGCTGTTGCAGGCAACGTCGTTGGAGTCGGAACTGTCGGTCGTCCTGCGTTCGCGAGCTCTTCTGCAGTCGCCGGAAGCGTCTCCGCTGTCGTGGCAGTCGGTCCGCCTGTCGCTAGCTGAGTCGCCGTCAGAGCCGTCAGCAGTGTGGCCGGACTCGGGGTCGGTGTCGCCGGGCTTGGTGTCCCCGGGCTCGCACGGTCTGTTCCTCCGTCACTCTCAGCAAGGCTAACAGAGCTCGTGGACCGGTAGCGCTGCCAGAAGTTGCCGTACCTGGCTTTCTCTGCTTCACTCAAGACCGGCAAGGCGTAGTCATCTTCCTGCATGTCTCACCATGAAAGTACGACCACGAAAGAAAAAGGGTTTATAATGTGTATATATATAGGGTCTTATTCATTATAGGGCTAAAATTTAAGTCAGGGTATTACGGTTCGTAGGGTTTTTCTGGTCACGAAGTCCTTAGAGTCCTTTCTAGCAGCACGAGGCGCCGTTCTGGGGCGTGGAGCAACCGGTGCCACGGCCACTGCTGGCGACGGGGTTGTCGCCGCCGAGCTCTCCAGGACCTACGTACGTAGGATCAGGGTTTGGGCTATTATATATATTTGGATGAAGTCTCCTTGAGTGCGTTTTGGGTTTGGGATTAGGGTCTCTCTCGTACGTTGAATGAGTGAATATATAATAATATGGGGTAGGGAATTAAGGAATTTAGGGAATTCTGGGAAATAGGGAATTCCTTAAATCCAACGCATGGGGCAGGGAATTATAGGGAATGTAGGGACTTTAAGGAAATAGGGAATTCCCTAAATCCAATGGGTAGGGAATTATTAGGGTTTCTTTTATTCGGCCCTACCTTGGAAACACGACCCGCCAGGGTTGCATCCTCAAAGGATGCTGCGTGTGTCAGCTTGGACTCGGCACGAAGTGGGTTCGGCGGGGTCGCAGGTGCCAGGTTGACCAGCCTGTCCAGTTCTCGATCCATGGCCACATCCTCCGCGGCTGTCGTCACACTCAAAACAGAGCGGCTGGAGTCTAACCTCTGCGGGGCGGCGGGTGACGTGCTGGGAGCAGCAGGTGCCGGTGCCACCACTGTCACTTCTGGAGCGACAACAGCAGGGGGGGGCGGGGCCGTGCACAGTTCTGGAGTCGTGGCAGTCCCCTGGGGAGCTGCAGAAGGGCTAGCAACAGTCGAGCTTGGAGTCCCCGGCTGCAGTGTGGCCATCATCGCAGTCCTAACATGCAATATGGTGGGGATTATTATGGTAGGTAAGCTTCACTCGGATGTAGCCGATATCGCAGTATGTACTTGAGAAACCTAGCTAGATAATTGAGATCCAAGCGGCATCTTCTCGCGCACCTTGAGCTGCTGGTCAGCAGTCAACCCCAGCTTCGCAAGGAGGGCCGAGTCGATGGAGGAGGCCTGTGCCTGGGATGTTGCAGACTTATTATTGTCATTAGGAATTCGACCATGTGCACACAGTAGATATATGTACCCTACTGACTGTATATGTATTTAGAAGAGCAGCAACCACAGCTGTCGGATCCATGGGCGCAGCTTTGCTAGGTGGGGCAGTCGGTTTACTTTTCCCCATTCGTCCCTCTGAGGGATCAACAGCTAACACAATATACGTTAGCAAGCCTTGAGAATGATGCGAAAAGCCCAGCAGTTGAGCCAAAAAAAAAATTCAAAAAAAAAAATCGAATCCGAGTGAATGCATCATGCAACCTGACCGTCAACAACTGATCAGATGTCGTTCCGAGTAGGTTTCAGTGCATTTATCCATAGTAGGTTGGAAAGGACTATTTTTACGCATTTCTACGCTTTTTCCCCTCATTTCTACGCTTTTTCCCGCGAGGCTTCCGGATGGGTAGCATATGATTTTTTGTCAATCCTGTGTGTTGATTTATCAATAGTAAGTTGGAAAGGACTATGTGTGTTTATGTTGTTTGATTCCTATCCTGTTTTGTTGTCTATTGGTCCATGTAGGATATGAAAGTTAGGAACCGTGAGTGTGTTTGTTGCTTGACGCTCAATAGTTTGGAAGCCTCGGGGTCCAGACCCCAAGAAACTGTCACCATCGGTCTGCTTCTGAGACCACGGATGACTACGGGAAGTCGCTTGGCCACGACTTCGGGAGCTGCAGCTTGCCGCTCGACTGCATAAACCGCACCACGTCCAGCAGCAAAGCCTTCGATGGGTGCCACATTATTCTGATGGTGGGGCACGTTCGTGATTGTGGTGTGACCCGTATTTCGCAGAGACCGCTGTATGGTTTCCGGGATGCAGGTTCTAGAGTTTAGGGTGTAGGGCTTAGGCTTATGTGGCTACAGAATTAAAAGGGCACATGCATCAGCTGCTGTATAGCTAGGTAGCTATCCATATCTAGGTCAAGCAACGTCCTCATGCCAGTCTATCGGCTGCTGGAAGAGCAGGGAAATTTGTTCGTTTGCATCGTAGGCGCCGGTGTCGTTATGAATGAAAACATCACTGGAGCCGGCCGCCTCTTCACAGCCCGCACAAGCCTGGCAACCACATTTAGACACGGGTGATGACCGCAAGACTTTCACCACAACCTCTTCAGCTAGACCGAGCTTGTGTAGCACCCCGACCCGATCTTGTTCAAAGGCCTGGCTATACCCACAACGTGAAACCCACTCCCAGCCTGGTCACAACCGGCTGTCCAACATCGGAGAACTTCTCGGGCATAGTGTGGAGTGTACTGCCTCAGCATGCAGCAGGTCAGGTTGATAAAGTGCCGAGTCCTAGGCTCAGGCGATAAAACGAGAGGGTAAAGTTAATTCACTGATGAGTTTATCAAGATTGAGGTTTTGGGCTGTTGCACGGAAGCTCGCATGAGACGTGCCAGAAACCGCACGGGCCAAAGGTCAAAGTATGTATATCGGTTTATGTGTATCTATATGTGTGTGCACATATGTCTATGTGCAGGCATGTGTATGGGTGTATATATATATGCATATGTATAAATATGGCACTTCTATACATCGCGAGTATATGTGTGTACGTATATATACATATACATGGCACCTCTGCATCCCTGTAAAAAGACGAGATTACATTATGCATATATAGGTAGGTGTATGTGTATATATATATATATTGTAAGTTTCACACATGTATGTATATATGTATGTATGTATGTATGTATGTATGTAAATATATATATATATACATATATATATATATGTACTGTATTTTCGTACCGCCTTCACTCACTATATGAATGACAATGTGGCGACTGTTGCAATAGTTGAACCAGGGATCCACTACCTTATTAGTATTGGCAATCTTGCGTGACATGCGACAGCCTCCTCGCAAGAGCGCAACAATGATCCTGCGATCCTACACATTCACCCTTTATTCGGAATCATACAATATAAAAATAACCATAAACCCCAATACTAAACAAACGAGCCCTGCACAAACACCTTAGGTCCTTCATGCATGCCGCGCTTCGTCGTGACTTGCCTTTACTACAGAGTGCAGCGGCGACGTGCAAGCGCATTTGGCCATGTTGTGATACTCGTCAGCGATCACGGCATTGATGTTGGGCCATCGAAGAAGCAATAGCTTCGAGAATTCATCACTTCGTCCCTGTAGTTTAGACTACTGCCACTGGCGGAAAACCAAGATTCGAAAGACCATAGTCCCTATGTAGCGTTCATGGTGAAAGTTCTAGGCGATGCATAACGGTAGACACATTCGTACTTCTCAATTAAGGCACCCGAGAACATCGGAACAGGCGTTTTGGGTTTCATTTCATGCACGGCCGGCCATGATACAGTAATAATGGTGGTCGCAATAAAACAGAAAGAAAGTTTTCCTACATGTCTACGTGTAGTTTATTACTTTGGGAATTGCACAATCACACGGCCCACCTAGACCCCGACAGTTCGAGATTAATCCCCAAATCAACACTGTGCTGGGCCCATTGCGGGATCCCACCAACAATAACAGCCAGAACCGTTTTCTATGCTGAATATTGGATTGAGGCTGGCCAAAGGACAAAAGCATTCTTCTGTTGTATGCTATGTCGGTTTTCAGATTTAGCAGGTCATTGAAACCCAATATGCAAAACCAAGGTTGCCTACATGTTTTGGACCCCACCGCGGACAGGCAGGCGATTATTAATAAGAGCTTAAGTTCAGGGTTTTAGGCAGGTTCAGGTGGGGATGATCCATGTGACAAGCCCTACATCCCCAAAAACCCTTAACTCCTCAACCCCTCGACCCCCAAACTCCGTAACCCCAAACTCCTTAACCCCCTAAACCCCAAAACTCCTGAACACCTAAACCCAGTACTCCCTAAACCCCATAAACCCCTATGTCTGATGATGCAGGCGGTGCAGGGTGTGTTTTCTAGTTACCCCAGGATCCTAATAAAAGAACGGCCCCGGCCATGGTATTCAGGATCAGTTGAATAACGAAATTGCATATTTGCGGGGCATATGTAAGCCATGTCCAGGATGATTCTTTTGCCGGATCGGCTCGTTCCAAGATCTTTCAATGCTTCAAAGAGCCGGGTTGTCATTA